AGGAAAGCTGTGTCAGGTAATGAAAGAACAGACCTGGTAGATTTCACAGGCATAGTGGAGGGAGCAGGATGGAAGGAGGTAGAATGGTCAACAGTTATGGAAAGGAAGTGAACGAGGCTGTTACAAGAAGGAATGACATGGAGGGGTAGAGATGGAGGAGGAGCAGTTAGAAGAGCACAGTTTGGATAGAGAGATATCAAAATGGAGCTCAGTGTCAAAACACATTTACATGCAGGTCACTGGAAAAGTAAAACAGTTCATTTGAAAGTGAGTGGCAAAGGAAATTAAAGAAGTGCATCATTAAATAGTTTTAAGGCAAGTAAGCTGGTAGACTGTGGCAAATGCAGGCGCAGTAGGCTTACTTTTGGTTTATCAGTAGGAATCTTATAGCTGTACTGATGTTGCGACACAGCAGATATGCAAGAGGATTTGTGTGCCCTCCTTTCTCCATGATGAAACATGTGATGCTTTCTGATGATCTTTGTATTATGTCTTACCCAGAGTCCTAAAACCTTAAGACACTTTGTCATGTCAGTCCCATTCACCTCAAATTTTAGACTCATAGCTGAAAGGAAAAGACTTGTGGATTGTTCATCCTGATGTCATTCTTGCATGTTGTTGAATAAGGTAGAATGGAATTTTTGTATGCTTTACATGTCTACAGTTTCATTTAAAAAAACGAGATTTCTTCCATTTCTTCCATTGAACTGAAGCACCGCCTGTCTGGATTTGGTGTCAGAGCTGGAGGCTAATCTACTACCTAATGTTTAGTGAAGGTGGGACCTGAAATCCAAGTAGCTGCGCTAAATATCTCCTCTACGGGTATTTGTTTCACACATTACCGAGGTGGCTGTGCCTTAATGCCTGTTGGGAAGGGAAGCTAACCTTTCAATAACGAATATGAACACACAAGATGATCCATCTAGATGACCTTTGAGCATAAATAGCCTATTCTTTGCATCTCTCTGTGTGTGACAGAAATGGATTTATGGAAGGTCTTAGTTTTCTCTCAGTGAAAACAGACAGTTCGCCTCATATGCAGTATGTGAAGATGGGCATCACTGGGGAAGGAATGAAGTTTTGGAAGAAAACTAGGAGTGATACTAGGGATGAATTGCTACTATAGAGATGAATTTTAGTTGAGGACAGAGATATCTTTATATATAATGGTATAAGGCTGGTCTGCTGTCAGGACCTGAAACTCACTAATCCTCCTAGCTGAGGTAATAGCTATCCAGTGTTTCATCTCCAAAGGGGCTTGAATGGCGATTCCATGAGATTCACTATTACTAAATGCAAACATAGAAGCAGGATCCTTTGAAGGGGAAAGATGTTGACTAGCCCCTTCAGGAATTGGATAACTGTGGTATGGGAGAATCTGGGTACAGGTTGGTGATATGCAAAAACAGCAGCTACATTAACTTTTAGGGAGCCAATAAATAGGCCAGTCTCATTTAAGTTATAGCACATGTTCCAAGACTATAGAGATGAAGGGGACTTTAGCGTAAGGCCTTTCTCTAACCTGAATTGTAGCAGAGCATAAAGTGAGTGCAAAAAAAATGTTCCCAATGATAGCATGTGATACCTATATAGGAGGAGGCTGAAGGTTGTGTGGCAGAGCACGTGAGGCGCAGGTTTCCTTTGTGATTGATGAACCCCTGGTTTCAAAGGGCTGGTGTCATCGCCTTTCTTGGAGGATGGGTCTGTTGGTGGTACCAAAGCCAAAGATGGGGTTCCAGGTTTCAGCCATTTAGCGATTGATGGGTTTGGTACAGAAGTGAATTGGGGAGAATCTGCATCATCAGTTTGAACACTCGATGCCGAGGCCTGTGCTTTAGGGCCTGAATGATCCAACAGCCTTAAATGTCTGTTCTGATGCCTTCTGGGCATGAATGCCTGATGAGGCGAGCACTGCAAGGGACTATAAACCTCACATAGGTACCCCAAGCAGCTGACATGGCTAGAAAGCAGGAAAAGGGGTGAATGTCTTAAATTGTTTCTTAGGCTTGATGCCGGCACCTAATGCAAAACTGAACTAAACTAGAGAACTTAGGCAGACTAATGGGACTGAGGATATGGAAGCAGAAATTACCACATCCGAGGTGCAAACAAACTCAAACAGTTTAATGCAATCAATTCAGGGGGCTCAGATAATCTCCATCCAAGCATATTAAAGGAACTGGCACATGAAATTGCAAATCCAGTAGCAACACACACCCCCTCCCGGCAAATGGGACACAGCAGCTGCTAGCCTAGGTGGCTGTGCAGGCCAGTTCCTCCCTGCAGGAGGTGCACAGAGGTTAGTGTGGTTTTGGGCATCTCTGGCAATGCATCCAGGGGCAGTGCACTGGGGCTGGGCTGGCCTCTGCCACTGGTGTAGCCACTGCAACCCACCCAGCCAACGGGTCATGCCAGGAGCCAGACATTGTTGTGCACAAAGCCTGGCATTTCGCATTGGTGGGCGCCCACCGGAGTCTGCAAAAATTAATTGGGTCATATGATCTGATGGTGCCAACACCACGGGCAGCACAAAAGGGGCCTGGTAACAGGGACTGCATAGCTTCACTAAGACTGATGTTCCTGAAACAGAACTAGTCCCTGGCTATGGTAATCTCCCTCACACCCATTTACAGACCCTTTATGTATCAAATAAAGGACAATTTGGAAATTATAGGAGAAAGTTGATTTGTAAAGGCACATCCCCAATGTTTTATTTATGACACATACTCATAACACATATTACAGTGTATATTCTTTTACATGATTATTGATGTATACAAGACAATATTTATTGATTTGATGTGTAATGTGAAACATTGGACACCCAACGAAGGGCAGGTGGTCACACTGTGTGTGACATTCTAGCATAGTTCCTCTCAACCTGCTTTGGGACAAATCTGGGACACTGTACAGGTGAAAAAAACTTGAAATGAAGAACATTAGAAAATCTGTTGGTTAGCAGGATGGTAAAATAGGGAGAGGCCAGTTTCTGCAGCATGAATTACATTTTATTTACCCTCACCTTCTTAACAGTAAAAAGCTATAATGAACTCATAAAATAACATCAATGTAATATTAAGGTGATATATTTAAACTCAAGTGTCAGGAAATGTTAATATGTATTGTCTATTGAGGCATACATTTAAATAATTTAACTTAACCATGGAACAGTAAAACTTTCCCCCCTGCTATATAGTTCATTGTCAGGTAGGGAAGGAGTCAGTCAGTGGCTGCAGCACTACTGGAGCCCCTACCAGGACAGTTGTGTGCAGGCAAAAAAAAATCAAGCTCCTGCAATTGTCTCGCTCATTGTGAGTGAGTGGGACTCTTTTGGGGACAATTAATTTTACAAGTGTTTAAAATCGCTCCCTGGTGAGGTGAAGGGTATTTGAATCACACATTCCATTGCCCATGTTCAAACTGTTGCAGCTCCTAACGTTCTCCTGGTGCCTGCTTGGACTTTGCAGTGAAAATGAGCGAGTAAGTGAGGGTGGGGAAGAGTGCACAATGGCGGTGGTGGGGTAGGGGGCTCAAGGAAAGGATGGGGCAGGGGCAGGGGCAGGGTCTTGGGGGTGGGATGGGGAAGGGGTGTTTAGTTTTCTGCAATTAGAAAGTTGGCAAATCTAATTAGGATGATCAGAGGAATGGAGAACCTACCTTACAAGAGGAGACTTAAGGAGCTTAGCTGAATCAAACAAAGGCTGAGGGGTGTTATGACTGCTCTCTATAAATATGTCAAAGGGTAAACACCAGGGAAGGAGAGGAGTTATTTAAGTTAAGCCCTAATGTTGGCTCAAGAATAAATGGAGATAAACTCACCATCAACAAGGTTAGGCTTGAAATTAGTGAACGGTTTCTAACCACCAGAGGAGTGAAGTTCTGGAACAGCCTTACAAGAGGAGTAGTGGGGGTAAAATAACCTACTTTGTTTTAAGACTGAGCTTGATAAGTTTGTAGAGGGGATGTTATGATGAGGTTGCCTACAATATTATATGGCTCATCTGTGACTGCTATTAGCAAATATCTCCAGTGGCTGGATATGGGTTGCTAGATGGGGAGGGTTCTGAATTTCTACAGCAAAGTCTTTCCCAGGTGTCTGGCTGGTGTGTGTCACCCACATGCTCAAGGTCTAACTGATTGCCATATTTGTGGTTTGGAAGGATGGTTCCCCAGATCAGAATGGCAGAGGTCCTGGGATTTTTTTTGAACTAGAGTAAATGGTGGATTCTCTGTAACTTGAAGTCTTTAAATCATGATTTGAGGACTCCAATAACTCAGCCAGAGGTTATGGGTCTATTAGAGAGGTTGGTGAGTGAGATTCTGTGGCCTGTGTGGTGCAGGAGTTCAGACTTGATGATCGTGATGGTCCCTTCTGGCTTTAAAGTCTATGAGTCTATAATGAACAATAGGAACCTACGGGTGTCTAAAAGCAGATAGGACACACAGAGAGGTTACTAACACTTCAGTACAGAGGCGAAGGAACTGAAGTGGTTAGCGGCTACTCTCGCTTATATGCTGATATCACTAGGGGACACTTGTGCAGCCCCAATGGACACATCCTGGATAGCGGTTCCATGAATTTGATGACAGGGAGTGGCAAACCCACAAGAGGGAATTCACATAGGCCTGCCTTTATTAATTAAACAGCAACTTTCTGTAGCTAATGATTGAATAAAATCTGCTTAAAGTGGTCATACTTTGGTAAAAAACAAGAAACAGAAGCATTTTATTTTCCAAAAATATTGTTTAACTACAAAGGTTTTAAGATAATTAAACTGAGAATCAAATTAGGCAGAGATAGAATTATGTTCGAAGCATGGTAGTCTCAATTACATTTCAGCTGGTATATATTCTTTAGAAACATTTCTTATGTAGCTTCCACTTTATATGCTAGACTGCAATGAGCAATTGGTGAATGTACAGTTTAATGTTAAAATTACTATAATAAATTACATTTTCAAGCCCAAATGAGGTCTTATGTATCATTTTCATTTATGCAGCTGATTAGTGGTTATCAGTTACCACCTAGTAACCTCTCCAGGACTAATAAAGCTGATCCTTTAGTCCAGATAGAAATTCATGGTGTGCCAGAAGATCAAGTGAAACAACAGACTTGTGTCATAAAAAGCAATGGTAAGCAGAACATATTCCATTGAGCGTACATTTCAATAATGTTTCACACAGAATAGCTTAATATCATATAGAAGTTGTTTCTCCAGTAATTTACTCCATAGCAAAAAGCTGTGCTGCATAGACTAATAGCAAAAGTGAGCACTAGGTGTAAAGACTGATCAACAAAAATAACAGTATAACAAGCTGTGTTCCAACAAGATTAATCTGAAGACAGTAAACTAAATCTGAAGAATTTGAGACTAGAATTTTTTCAACTTTTTTAAAAAACCTTTCGTTACCATCATGCTTGTATGAAAAATGATGGATTGTCAGTCATAGAGACTGAAATTGTTTGTTTACATATAAAACAGGGGCAGCTTCCCTTGCCCTATCTCACCGTTGTGCCTCAACCTGACCTGACATAGAGGGACCACTTCTACCCGTGAGAGTGTAGTTCCTCAATGCAGGCAGGCCTGAATCAAGGTAAGTAGCACTGGTACAGCGCTGCATCAGGAGACCACCCCGGCAATGCAGACTCTATATTCAGAGGCTAGTGCATATCAGTTCCTTGATGCATACCATTACAATGCTTTGGAGCTCAATAGGGGTGGGATCAGCAAGGAGTGTCACCACAAAACCCAAGTGTCAGTGTGCTGCAGACATCATCTGGAGAAGCTTATGCAACATTGTCTTGGTGCAGAAATGGTCCTTGTTGATCAGCACAAGGCAGGTGCCATCAAGGGAGATCTGAAAACCAGGGTTTGTTTGTTTACCACAGGTCCTTTGTTAGAAGCAGCACCCATTCTTCATGCACCATAACACTGGGTTTTTAAAGCACATTAATATGTGTAGTTGGTGCAGAACATTCTTACAAAGCTGGACCTTATCTACTCTTCTTAATCTATTTTGGTGTGTTCTGTGTTGAATATCAGTGAAGAACTTTTTTCTCGGAGCCACTGATTCTTTAGACTCTAGAGTGAAGCGAGTAGCTTTAATGCATTGTTGTTTAAAAGAGGTAATCAGAATGGCTCCTTAAAGCCTTGAACCACGCAAGACAAAGTTTTATTATGGTAGTCTTTTGACACAGATGTGCCCCATAGAATTAGGTTGCTGAAACTCAGAAGGCTTTAAGCCAGGTAAACATCCATGCCTCAATGTCTCATGGGTAAAGCAGCATGCAACTGCTTATAGGATGTCAGTCATCCCCCCTTTCAGCATACAAATCAACATGGTGAAGGCATGTGGCTCATCAGAGTAGGAACCCAGCCAGGACATATGATTTTACCATTTTGTACCCTTCAGTCAGTACACTTCTTTCTCTCCTCTTTCCCTCCCTTGCTCCCCACCCCTGTGAAGAACTTTCTTTATCATTACAGAGAGGAAGCAAAGACAGCCTCTGACACTTCTGGTTTGTTTTTCCATCACCCTTAGTTTATTTCTCTTTCATACCATAACCGAGAAGACAAAGTGAGCAAATCTGTGTCAAAGGATAAGGAAAGGAAAGACCAAAAGTCCACCTTCACCATCTGTAGTGAAATATCAGATCAGATTCAGGCCACCTTGGCAGGATCACCCTGGTTTTCTTGGGACAGTTCATCAACTGGTATAGACCAGTGCAACTCCATCAACCATCTTCCATCCTGGCCTGGCTCTACAGCATGTCTGTGTTTGTGTGCCTGTGTACTGATGCAGATGGAAAAGTTTGAAGGATTAAGCGGGGGAGCCAAAATGAAATCCACAGGAGACCCAGGACATGTATGAATTAGTGTTTCCTTCTTATTCCCCCTCGCACTTCCATGTTTCAGACATCTTGCCTCCTCTACCACCGTTGTGTAGGATACCAAAGAAAATAAGTCAAGATCAGTGATAGTCATGCTCATTGCTTTGGCCTGGCCCAGTAGACCATGGTATCATGATAAGCTGAGACTATTCAGAGAGTGAAAAATTCTTTTTTCTCTCAAGATACGGTCACAATGTCTTTATCTGAGCCTCAGTCAGCTTGAGCAGAATATCATGTTAAGGAAGAATGAAATTTCCTAGGTGGTCAAGAAAATCCTTCTCTCCTCCATTAAGAAAAGAACCTCCATCACATATTACGAGGTACTGGTGGTCTTTACTGATTAGTGGACAGATAAAGCCATTTATGTGAAGGAATCATCAGTCCATTCCATCTTTAACTTAGGAGGGTTCCCTTAACTGCTTGAGGTCCAAGTGCCATTTTGGGGGAAATAATTTCTCATTTTCTTCAAGCATTCTCCTACCTGTGTCATTGCAGGTCCTCTCCCTTGGTGTCTCAGTCTAAAGGTTCTCTGTGGTCCCCTTCCTTTTGAACCTCTGCATTCCATTTCCCTTTATCTCTTTTTCTAGAAGGCAGCTTTCTTAGTAAACATAACCTATGTAAGGATGATGGGATAAATGACCACTAATTTCTGTTTCTCCCTATAAGTTTATTCATCAAAACAAGGCAGTCCTCATTCTATGCCCCTGTTTATTTCCTTTCTACCTTAGTTCATCTAGCATCTGCCTCAATCCCAAAGCAGTAAAAGAGGCGTGCTGGCACAATCTTGAGATTACTAGGGCTATAACAAATTTTATTTGACCACAACCTCCGAGTCAGTCATAATCCCTTTTTGTTCTCTTCAAAAAGAGTTGCTCAGTCTTGTGGTTTGAATTACTCAGTGTGTAGGTAATGCATGACAAATGTTTATAAAGTGCCCACAGTGCCTAGTCCTGTCATATTTAAAGCTCACTCCACTTGTAGAGAAGGACTTATCTATGCTGACTGAAGAGTGCAAAAAATGAGAACTACATGAAAGTTCGGAGCCTGCACCAGTACAGTCAGTAGGAGTTTTGTTACTGAGTTAAACGGGCACAGAATCAGGCACAAAAGGTGGTGCTGCACTGTCTGCAGTTGTAGAAAGCATAGCTCATAAATTAATTACAATTTCTCAGTCTCATTATTTTTCAATCCGTTGATGTGTGTACAAAATGCTGTTTGTATTACAATTGTTTTCTCTCTCGCTCTGCTCCCTCACCCCAGCTTTGTGCCCTAGGTGGAATGAAACGTTTACTTTTACTGTTCAAGTTCCAGAACTGGCATTAGTGCGCTTCTCTGTGGAAGATCAGATATCGCTAGCAGCAAATGAGTTCCTGGGCCAATACACTTTACCACTGCTGTGCATGAATAAAGGTAGTTAGTAGTTCCTCCAAAAGCAAACTACATACTGTACCACCGAGCAAAAATCTACAAAAGCATAAGCTTTTACTATTAGCCTGTTGTTCTATTTAGGTTTATTACACACCATAAACTTTGTATTAGGTACAACAGATGCAGAGTGGCATTTATCACATTTTTGGTCATTGTGCTATGATGATGAGATTCTATGTGACTGCCAACCTACAGTACTGAAGGAAATATTACTTATTGGTAGTTGTATTTATTGCAGTATTACGCGACTCACATTATAAACAGAATGCATTCAGAGTATGTTATAGTTCCAGCTGTTAGGAAGCAAGAAGGTGAAAAGAACAATCAATCAAGACTAGTATAAAGGCACCAGACTGCCGATATTTTATTCATTCCAGAACCCGAAAAAACAAAAGAGAGGTAGGCAATAAAGATAAAGAATCAAGTGCAATTTTTTCACAATGGACAAAGATGGAAATAAAATGGGGGAAATAGAAAAGTGTAATTACTGATAATTTCCCCTTCTTTTACTAGTACATCTCATTGATTCCTAGCCGATGAATAGAACTCAAATGAATAGCTGATGTAGAAGTTACTATGCCAGGAGGAGGGTGGCTTACGTAAACTGGCTGCTTACTGTATTTGATTTCCAAAATAACTTCTGACAAGCACCCAGAACCAACTTGTACTGATGACTAAAGGTGTATAGATTCACCTACTGCACTTTGCTTCCCTACAGATGTCATCCTCCAATGTCTCAATACTCTCTGTCGAAGATGCAGTGATCCCTCTTGTTAAATGATTTTTAAGGAACATAGGGAAGGAGCTATAGGGCCTTTGAGAACCCAGATTAATACAGTCTCCTAGACGAACTGATATGATTGTTTAAGGGGTTTAAACTTTTCTGTGGCTATAAAAACTCACAGGGAACTTCTGGTTGCCAGAAATCCTTCTTACGGAACAGATAAAATGTCAACGTAGCTTTAAACATTGAGAACAGAGAGTAATTTTCTTGGTAGCGGACAGAGTTCAGGGCAAAAGTAGGCAATTCAATATGCTGATTAACTTTATTCATTTACATATATAGCCTGCCCAGTTCCATGACGTCTGGGGAAAAAATCAACATAAATGGAAAAGTGAACAAAATAGAAAAGACCGTGCTTTACATCACCATTAAACTTGGCCAAAAGAATAAGCCTTGCAGTTCTCTCTGAAGGATAAGCTTGAGCTTTGAGAGTGAGTTCTGAAGTTAGGGACAATTCATATCTCAAGACTATCAGGTGATCTCAGCTCTCTTTTTGGAAAAGAGAGAAAGAGGTAAAAGTGCTTTAGTTACCCAAGAACCTAGGATCCATTTTCAAAAGTGACTTAGGCACTTATGAGTCTAAGGGCTAGTCTACACTACTGCACTACATTGGCGCAGCTGCACCGATGCAACTGTGCTGTTGTAGTGCGTCTGGTGAAGACATGCTATGCCAATGGGAGAGTGCTTTCCTGTCGGCATAATTATTCCACCTCTCCCAATGACATAGCACACTTTAAGGCAATGTAACTTGCATCGTTCAGAGTGGGAGGCTTTTTCACACCCCTGAGCAACATAAGTTACATTCACATAAGTGGCAGTGTAGACAAGCCCTAAATCATAGGACTTTTGAAAATGTGACTTAGGGACTCTTAAAAATGTTACCTGGACTGTGTAAGGCTGCAAAACACTGAGCTGGCAGTGGGCAACTTGTTGCTTTTATACCAGTCCTAACAGTTTCCCTCCCCCCTCCCCCCCCCACACACATTTTCTTCCTCCTGGGTAGTAAGTTATAAATCTGTTTATGGATTCTTTTCATGGGCTGGGGAAAAAGGAGATATGAGAAAAACAGACATTGTTATTACAGAATACTTACCATTCTACAAGCTAAATCTGCACACCTATTCCTTTGTCTCTCTCTCTTCTGTTTGAATGTACATATTATTTTGTGAAACTGCAAGAAACCAGTTCTAAATTTGTTTTGTGTATGGAAAATGCAGTCAAATAAACATTGGAGCTTAGTCAGCGTTGTCAAACATCAGTTTGGGTAAGTTTCTTTGTAGAAATTTTCAGGTTGCCAAAAAGCCCATTTTTAACAGGATTTAAGAGGCCCGGGGTGGTAGGAAACCTTCCACTTCTGCCTCCCACCTCTCTTTTGTTAGCTCACTACCATTGCAGCTAGGGTGACCAGACAGCAAATGTGAAAAATCAGGACAGGGTATGGGGGGTAATAGGAGCCTATATAAGGAAAAAGACCCAAAAATTGGGACTGTCCCTATAAAATCGGGCCATCTGGTCACCCTAATTGCAGCATAGTTTCTTTTACAAGAACATTGTCATTCTTCCTTCACCGGTTAATCGATAGGAGGCATTCTAAAAGCAATATGTGCAGCACAGACTTCTGGATACCAAGAATATCCTTTCTAAATCCTTGCCAGTCCTGTAGCAGAAGTCTGCAGGATACTGTAAATCACAACTTATGTATCAGTGAAGGCTTTGACACTATACTAACATTACCTGTGTTTATCACCACTGACTGCCAGGAGAATTAAAATGCTAGAAATGTTAGAGAACTACTGTAGTAATGAGTGTTAGTCTATGTATCATTTTGGTTTACTTTAATTAAAGGGTTTATTTAGATAACTATAAATTATGTTTCATTTGTACAGTAAATACGGCCACTTCCGTTTCATCAGTTAACCCACATAAATTCTACATTTTTATTTAATAAATTAATTTACTGTTATTACATTTACAGGTTATCGTCATGTTCCTCTGTTTTCCAAACTTGGTGACAGACTTGATCCTGCATCACTCTTTGTGTATATTTGGTACTATTAATGATGACATTAGCAGTACTCCTGAACTGGCATACTCCTCAATAAAGTAACCATCATGTAGCTTGCAAACAACAGTTTAGTGCGTGGCCTGATTTTCAGAGGTGCTGAGCACCTGCAATTTCCACTGAAAGCAGTGGAAATACTTGTGTGGCTAAATGCTATTTAACACGAATAAAGGCTGTAGAATTGGGCCCTGAAGTAATTTAGAAGAACTCCTACATGGTTGACTTTTGCAGTATATTTTCTTGAATCCAATCAATATTTTAATATATAATTATTTGCAACTAATAGCAAAATAGTAATGAAGTATTAAATAATAAGGAAGTAGCATTTTAATATTTATGGTCTAAGACTTCCAAAAGCACCAAAATTATGTGCAAAATTGAGTGGTCTTTTTCATTTGCATTGAGAAACTTTTTCCTACTGTATATTAATCTGTTCAAAAAAAGAAAACAGGAAACATACATACACATACACACAATTAAAACATAATTTACCCTTTAAATCCATAATGAGTCAATTTCTGATGGAGCTATAGCTCATCAATGCCCATTGTAAAAATGATAAAAGCTCAAGAGTGGTAACCTAGACAATATTCAATTTTGCTGATACCAGGATCTCAAAACACAAACCACCTGCCAGATACTGCTGTCGGCACCTTCTCTGCCAGCATAGCCCTTGCCCTCCCATCAAGAGACTGTGTTCTCCCAGCCGTCTTATAAAATTGCTTTTGTGCAATGAGCTTCACATGGACACAGGGATCTACATGCACAGAACTCATTGAAGGTTTCAGGTCCAAGCATCAATAACTTACCAAGCTGTTTTACAATGGCACATTTCTTACTTAAGATACTTGTATCAATGCTTATCTCAAGGATCGGCAACCTTTGGCCTGTGGCCCACCAGGGTAAGCCCCCTGGCGGGCCAGGGCCGATTTGTTTACCTGCCGCGTCCACAGGTTTGGCCGATCGCAGCTCCCACTGGCCATGGTTCACTATTTCAGGCCAATGGGGGCTGCGGGAAGCAGCGGCCAGCACATCCCTCGGGCCGCGCCGCTTCCCGCAGCCCTCATTGGCCTGAAACGGCGAACCGCGGCCAGTGGGAGCCATGATCGGCCAAACCTGCAGGCACGGCAATTAAACAAACTGGCCCTGGCCCGCCAGGGGGCTTACCCTGGCGGGCCGCGGGCCAAAGGTTGACGATCCCTGGCTTATCTTTATAGTATGATTTTATTTTTATTGTCATTTTAAACCTTATTTTTATTACTATATTCCCTATATACAAAATGTGTCTCTCTCTAATATGGAAAATTATACTCTCCTGTACATACCACAGGCAAAGATTTGAAAATGTTACAGGAAATAACACTATTGGAAAATTGCCAACATTTATTTACATTAAAAACAAACTAAAGAAATCAAGACAGTAAACTGAGAAGAATCTGAATTCAATAGTGAACTTTAGGGTCAGGTAATTTGATAACTAAAAGCTGGATATGATCTGTCTTCTGCATTTTTTTGAGAGAGAAGTCACTTGCTTCTTTATCTTGGAATACCTATAATCTAAAATTTTGGCCTCGTTGATCCTTGTACTGTTTATATTTGTATCATAGACAATATCTTTTTCATATGGTAAATATTTTATGGTTTTTCTTCAGCACTGAGGAGGCATGTTCATGTTTTTACTCAAGCAGGTTCTCTCTCCTTACTGAGAAGTTTAATTTCCCCAGGCAATATGGTGGCTCTGTTCCAAGAGCTGACATAACCAATCTGTTTGCATATGAGAAGAATGCCGGTTTATTTGGATTCATGATATTCTTAAATGACACTCATACTGCAACTTCAACAGGTTTATATATCATAAGCTGCTTAAGCCTGATTTGTATGTCTTAAAACTATTATCCTTTGGGTGGAAAAAAGGAATCCCCTACAGCTCTGGGCATTATATCCCACTGTCAGCCACTTTTTCAACTTGCAGGATAAATCTCAACTCTAGCCAAATACATGTTATAATATTAATGTTTACATCATGAATCAATTCTTTTTTTTACTAGCCTGTGACCCTGATTCTGGAAAGACATACCAGTATGTAAGTGCCTAACTTTATGCACAGGTAACCCTTCTGCCCATCTAAGTTGGCAGCAACAAGGGCCGGGTTCTGTATCTAGGGGTTCCGTTTCAATAACGCAATGCAAAACTGGCTCGAGCCCCCACCTAGTGACCTGGGACAATTACATACCACCCCCAGGGTGCCTCTAAGAGGCAATACTTCCCCTCTCGCAAGCACGGAGTCTGAGTGTGACAGAAAACGTTTAATAACATGAGGTAAACGACATCAGCATTAAATT